CCCCAAAACCCCAAAACCCCAAAACCCCGTAGAGAGTTGGTTTAGATGAAAGGGAATTGGAATAGTTGGAATATTGATTGCTTTGCAAGAGAGTGGATTTTGAATTTAAGATTTTTATTTGGTTGAAAATTAGTTAGCTTTAATGTGTTAATGGTACACAGATGATTTAAAAATCATTTTAACTATCTTAAAAAGTAAAATGTTGAATTACAATATCAATTTGTAGGACAATATAAAATTTTCTTTTGTTAAAAGTCATAAATAGTTTTTTCTCATCAAAGCTGAAGATTTGATGAAATGAGTTGAGCATTATCTTAAAATATTTACAAAGCAAACTTATAAAATCATACCTTATTATCATACAGTTGGCTTATCAAAAATATTAGAATTTCTTTCAAATTGTTTCATATTTATTCCTAAAATTCGATTATCTTTGAACCTTTTTCTAACAAGGAAAGTTGATTTAAACAAATTATGATACTTCAGAAATTATCCGGATCGTTAGAAAAATGTGATCTTCAGATTATTATTTGGTTTAGTAAAATATGAATTTCTCGAGCAACCCTTGTAAAGCATTTTTATTCTTTATCATAATCAAATTTTTTACAAATGCTATCAGTTATTGCACAGAATAGTAACAGTTAGATTTATTATCTCATTCTTTATAAAATCCCAAGCATTCAGATGTTATATCTTTTCATTAAGAGGGTTATTTAGACTATTTATGACCAAATTAACAATGACTAAGCCTACCGGGCCACTAAAATTTAACCTCAAAAGTTTGCATTGGTTCAGTGTTGTTGTAAAGATAAACGATATTTGATTCATCTGATTCTCTGATATTTTGGAGAATTCGAAATTCAAGGATTGGTGAAGAAGTGTAAACTAATTTATAGCACCCTTACAGTTATAATTTATACTAAAATACTTAGTCTGACATTGAGGTAGTGTTGAAGTTTCGAAATAAAATTATTGCATGATTCCAAAATAAAGAAAAGAGATGAAAGTAAGGTTTATCATAAATTGAAATATATGTCATGACTAAAGGACAAAGAATAAGGGATAATTATGACCATTCCCCTTTATCTTTTTATCCTCGTCCGATTTTGAAATATTTTGATAATGTTTCAATACTTTTCAAAAATATTAATGTCCAGAAAGAAGGAACTTTCTTCTGGAGAGGAGAACTTTCAATTTTGAGTACTTATATCCCCCCTTAACCTATAAAATTAGACTTCACAACATAGGCATTTTAAATTACTTCAGATTCTTCAGTAGGAAATTAAGCATCTTAATGTCCCAGAAAGAAGTAAGAGCGATTCTAGGAGATATCACCAATCTTGAGTCAAATTATAGAGAAAAGATGATAACTGGAGGAGATACAACAATAGGATGATTAGATCAAATAAAGTTGCCTTCAGAAGAAGAACTTCTAAAATCTCAATCAGTGTTAAGTAGATCAAGCGATAACTGCAACACAGAAAAAAGAGCCCCTATTCTTACAAATGATATTGTGCTAAAGATATGATACCAGAATCAGAACAAGATATTGCCAGAATACCCTGCCAATATGAAGACTCTACACAGCTCCATAAAGTCTTTGTTCTCACTTGATATTCTCTATAACCTGTTTTTTATTGATTCAGCTGGTGATAGAATTGATATTTCAAATAACAAAGACTTGAAGGCTATTTGTAAAACAATGGGAGGCCAAACCTCTCCACTTTTAAAAGTGTATATCTGGCCTAAAGATGCTCCCCTTCCATCTTCTAAGACTGGCATAGCAGAAGTTGACTCTCTTTGGGAGAGAATTGAAAAAGGAAGGAAGCTTATCCGTTTCAACGATAAAGCTAGAGACTTAGCAAAGAATACAGGGACACAAACTCAAATCATTAGGAAAGACTGCACATACATTCTTGAATTCTCTTTCGAAGATAGATTCTTTTATAAATGATGGAAATTCAAACAAGGATGCAAGGGAATTTGGAAAATTAACAAGAAGGGAGGGGAAGGAAAATTGTCCAGGGATCATACAATGGAAGATTGAGGCATCAAGCCACAAATTAAAACTGAATCAGAAGAAAGAACTAAAACTTTAGATCAAGAGTATGACAATGACGGAGGCTTTGAGTCTTCTCCAACTATAGAAGAGAATGCAATGATACTCAGTCAGATAAAAAATGCTGCAAAGGAGAGCTTAATCTTAGATCCAGACATTTCGGAGCGTACAGACCTTTCATTAGAATAATATATTCTTGAATCAAAGAGGGATGGAGCCAAGATTCCAAGAAGCAAGTTATAAAATCAGAGAACAATATTATCCTTCCTCCGATAATTCCTTATGAAACATCTTTACAAAAGACTTCAGGAGTAGAGGTTTCAAAAATATATACCAAGAGGACAACACCCTTTGGACGAGCCCAAGTTGTATCCATATGAAATGAGCAAACGAATGATCTGCTCTTTCTAGTATCTGATTTTGAATTGAAAATATTGAAAAGCAATCATAAATCCCCTCAAAGATACTTACTTTGCTGAGAAGAGATCTCTGATCCAAACTACAGATATGTTTTTAACATTTCCATGTATGATAACACATGAAAAATGTTCATGCCAATAGGCCATTGTTTGATGAGGTACTTAAAGACCCAGCATTTTGAGTTAATCATTGCATGGTTTCAGAAAGAATTCGGAACTTTCTTCAAGCCTAGCTTGTTTATCACTGATTACAATTTTGAATTATTCCATGCCTGCCACGTCCTGTATGACAAAGTTCCGAAGTATATTTCCCTTGTAGACTTCATTTTCAAAGTTTGGAAAAATGCATATGCTGTAGGAATGCTCACAGAAAAAGAAGTGCCAGATGATCACCTCAAGTTGCTTTCAGATATGCCCTTCCTTCTTTTAACTCATAACGAGAAGACCAAGGACCAATTTGAGAAACTAGTTGATAATTTTCTTCCGCTTGGGCAATATGAACGATTTGTGAAGCAGTATATGCAGATATTCCTCAATGTGTCAAGCTGGTATAATATCTATACGTTAGCTTCCACATACAAGAACATCTTCTTAAACGCTTCAAAATCTCAAGAACTTCAGAAGAAAATTTTTCTGTCAAATAGAGGGCTTTCAGGACTTGAAATGACTAGAAATTTTGAGTCTTATCTTTGTAATCTTCATGAGTCAATTTCAACAGGAGGACAGATGATCCAGCCGGGATCAATGTACAGGTTAACCAAGCTATACTTTAACAAATACAGAGGTAAAAAGATCAAAAAGAATGACATTCTTGCCCTGACGTTAAATGCAATGAAAGATTTTGATATTGAGCCTAACATTAGTTCCGAGCTGAGCATGAAAATATCAAAAGTCAAAAACGAAATTTTGGACACCCCTAATATAAAGATCGAAAATCCAGAGAGTCTCCTGCTTTAATTCCTTTGATGATTTAAATAATTTATGAAACATAATTTCTTGTATATGTAGCTCTGACAGCTGGTTTTGGAATAAATCCAATATCTGAATTTTCTATATATAAATAACAATGCTTTAAATACCTAGACCAGATTCTTTTTCTTTTATTTTGCTCGATACTTGCATTTTTGGCTGTACTTTTTTATAATCTATGGTTAATTTTGGAAAATCCAGCTTCCCTAAATTAACTCAAATTACCACAGAGGTATCTTAATTATTTTTTGAATTTGAGATTGGGTAATATAAGTTCTGATATCTCATTTATATCTTACCTCTATTAGGTATTTTTTCTTCTTCAAAATCAAATTTATTTTCCTTTATACCTTTCATATATCTCTCATTCTAAATAAAGTTTAAGTAATTCAAAATTGAGCAAAATTATAAAAACTTTCAATCCCAAAGGTGCTAATCAACCTAATTTATATTATCGAAAAATTGATTTCCTTGGCGATAATATTCCAAGTTCTTCAGAATATTAGCTTCTGAAAGTATATACAAAAGCTTTATCCCTCTTATTCAAGATCTAAGAATCATCTAAATCAATAACTCTTGAAAAATGGCTAACAGCCCACCCACAACTAGTAATACCTTATTATTGATAAGGTAAACCCTAATCCTTAAATAAAGTCCTAAGCAGGCCATAAGGATGAGGAACAATATCCCTCCAACAATGGCATACTTGATTATCATTTTATTCTATAATTTTAAACAAGATTGGGGTTTTGGGGTTTTGGGGTTTTGGGGTTTTGGGG